GGAATCCCTGAGATGTAACAGTCTATCTTTAACAAAACGAAAATTTTCTACTTCATCATTTATTGCACTAAAACAGATTTTTCCATTTTTAAGAGTCTGTACAAAGTTCACTCATAACTAGTATTAACATGAAGGTTTAGATATACATCTGTTGATAGGACAAAATTTACATTAGTGAATTTGAACAAAAGTCACAAAGAGAAAATGTCATCATAACTATGACTTCTTCCAAAGTTGGTCCTGATGTGCCTTCAACTAAGGAAGCTGCAATTACCTTGAAATTTTTTTACCATAGTTTGATGTGTTTGGTTGCTCAGTAAGTGATCATCATAATCCTCAAAAATAATCATAGTCGAAAGATGTAAGCATTTTAAAAAAAGGAGGTCTATTAGAAATAATGCGAGCCAAAAAGCATTTATGGATAACAATTTCACTTTCAGAAATGCACAATTAAACATAATCCAAATGATTGAAATGCATATAAATATTTCAACAGTAATGCATAACTCAAACGATTTCACAAAATACCCTACTGACGTCCCAAGTAGGTCACCTATATACCTCACGAGCGTCTTGGATGGGTCCAAACAATCCCTGTAGATCCAAACATACTTCACCGACGTCCCAGATGAGTCCAAATAGTCCCTACCGGCATAACCAGATAAGTCCAAACAATCTCTGCAGGTCCAAACATACCTCACCAGCATCCCGATGAGTCCAAATAGTCCCTAGCCGTATAATCGGATAGGTTCAAATAATCTCTGCAGGTCCAAACGTACCTCACCGGCGTATCGGATGAGTCCAAATAGTCCCTATCAGCGTCCCAGATAGGTCCACACATACTTAAATTATTTCAAAAACTCTTTAACATTAGAAAGTATCAACATCGTATATTCAAAGTATCATTGAAATCATTAACAGAAATTCACTTGAAGCAATTTAAACAATTACGTTCAATATTTGTAAGTAACCAATCAAACAATTTGGATAAAAATTGCAGAAAGGTAATAGATCGAACAGGTATATTTGAAATGGAATCCAAAAGGCAGTCGATCATCAATTTAAGAGCTCTTATAGAAATCCAAAGTTTAACACATAAATATCACAATTTTATGGAACGTAATTTCGTAATTAATTATTTTACAGGAATAGGTAAAACTTAGAGTATCTAAAGTTCATAGACAAAAAAAAAATACAATTAAATGCAGAAATGTGTAAATCTCACAGTATTGGCAGTATTATAATTAATTGTAGAAATATCAATTTTTTCACATAATGATTTTACCATAAATGACATCACTTACGCATAAATTTTATAGTGTTTAAAAGTCATAATAATAGGTAGAAATTTTATTTTTAATAATTTACAATATCTAAATTTTTAATAATAATAATAATTTTAAAAGAAAAAAAATGATACCATATGCGCATAAATTACAGTATAAAAATGGTGAACAG